GATTCAACCATTCTATTGACGATGACCTACGGAGCTGAACATGGTACGCTAGTAAAGCAAAGAAGAACAAACTTATAGTTAGGAAAAGAGCGATGAGCAATGAATGTGCAAGGTCTCTCTTAAGGATCATGTTTCGAGGACAAACATTCGACCAGGGGCAGGATTAACAAGCGTGATATCTGATTTGTACCTCACAAAAGGATGGGCTGACAATGTGACTTGCTTCAGAGACAACTGCAGATCGTAAAAAATTTCAAACTGCTTCCGCTAGACAACAGATGTCCCTAAGTCGACCAAAAACATGCTGCATGATTCAATGGTCAAGTGTTTGGTCAACAATAGAGGCGGAGAGCAAAGAAAAGCACAGAGTGGAGATGTGTTAATGGTGCATCTATAACGAGGAAGAGTCGGATAACGAAATATCATAAAGTTGTTGATCTTCTAAGCATCGTCTTCAGGCTCATATCAAACAGGTAAAGTTTCATTTGACTGACAACATGCAACATACCTTGAAATATTCATCAGAGCCGGGTAAATCCGTCGCAAAAAAACTACTGATTGAATTGCGTCCAGGACTCATGGGACATATCAGCCCATCGGGTTCCAAGTAAATCTCGTGTTTCGCCTTTTTACGAGTCAACGAGAAACCTTTTTTCAGCGCCTGAAATGTCATGAAATCTTATTGATTTAATGGCAAGATTGATTTATTAACCATGTTTAGCAAACTGAAACTCCAAAAATCAATACCTCCTTGTAATTTTATCGTGAAACAGACCGGGGTTGCTCAATCGAAAGAATCAAGTGTATCGAGATGGAGCCGAGATGGTTCGTTTATTCGCATCTCTTCCTCTGGAAGTGGTCAATAAATTAGTACCGCTTTGCTGGAAGGAAACAGGAAACTACAAACTATATCAATCCCATAGTTGCTATTTGCAGTTAAAAGAATAAATCGCTCCAGCCTGATCGCATCGAAATAGAGATCAGGTGCTCTACCATTAACTTTATGACAAGTGGGCGTCAGAAATATTGCTTCACCATGAAAGCGCATAGAACGTTTACAAATATTTTATTTAGTTTTTATGGTGGAAACAAGATTTAATATGCTAAACACCGTCTTAACGACTATTTGCCATTCATTCAAATGGAATTTCGGCATGAAAGCGTATCGGATATTAGAATTGCACGTAAGCAGTGCCGGATTCGATTTCTAGAATTTACTTTAGCATACTCAAGTCAGGCCAGGAAAAAAGAACGACTGTTAGACGAATGACTTGGAATCAGACAATGCTGAACGAAAAATTTAGGGCCGCAAAGCAAACAGTATAATGTGCTTTCACGGTTCATGACAAAAGGCCTTTTACTTCTTCGAGCCGCTAACAACAGATTCAGAAAGGACAGTCGTCTTCATTCATATGTGACACAGAGTCCGTAAAGCTACCGAAACGTAGCAACAGATTAATACAGGCTATCAAACAACAGCCTTTGCGTTGAGTCTAAGTCCGTCGAACCAAAATATTATAAACTTATTTGTTTTGTAATCGTTTAATATTTAGTATGTATTGCAAGTGTTATAACTGTTAATATCTACATAAATATTTTATGATATTTAAGAAGTTGAAACAACTGACATCACTACAAGCCAATAATACATCATCTCATTTTCTTATTTAAAAATTTTATATCACATTTATCCAATAACCTGGATTTACTGTATGAATTTGCTAAGCATTCCAACAGATTAATAAAACGTGCGGTCGAACAGGGTGCAAGTAACAGTGCAACACGCTAACTCAGTGTGAGCAAGAACCACACGGAACCATAACCTAAAGAACAGATCAGCTGGTTACACCAACAATGATGTGAAGTACGTCAGGTAAATTACGCACAACACAGGTAAACAAG